CGCCACCCGCCCGTTCCACAACGGCTCCGCTCCTCCCTCCGGACGGCACCGCTGCCCCGGGAACTGATCTCCGCAGGGGTGAGCAGGAGAGCGGAGCAGGGGCCGGCGTGCGGCTTCCTCGACACCCAGGCAGGGTACCGCGGGCCCAGAAGTGCAGGGAAGCGCACAGGCGTGCGGGGCTGCCGTCCGGCCCAGCGGGGTGCCCAGTGCGGCCTCCACTGACTCTTCCCCGGACGGAGCACGAACCTCCGTCTTGAAGAGGCACCAAATTGCCCAGGGCCGCTGCTGGGCAGTTCCCAACTTGGCAGCTCGCTCTCCGTTCCAGATCACCGTGTACGACCAAGAAAACTTCCAGGGCAAGAGGATGGAGTTCACTTCGGCCTGTCCAAACATCATGGAGTGCAGCTTCGACAACATCCGCTCCCTGAAGGTGGAATGCGGCGCGTGAGTACCCGGCCGGCAGCGGCAGCGATGTTTCCCAGGCAGGCTGCCCATGGGCAGGTCTCGGGCTGGCGGGGACAAGGGGTACCTGAGCACGGAGTGGGGTTGGCCGTCCTCACTCCGCAGAGCTGGAGCCAACTGCAGGGAGCCAGGCGCGGTGAATCCCACCCTGCAGGGGCAGAGCGGGCAGCCCCGGGCAGCCCGGACATGGGCACTAGAGACACAGGGCCAGAGGATGACAGCATTGCCATTGGCATCATCCAAAACTGCCTCCTGCAGCCTGCAAGCAGCCAGGCTTGGAGCTCCCCGGTGCCCAGCGTGGATGCTGCCCGAGGAAGCAGTGAAGGTCAAGGGGCTCTGAGAGTGGCTCTTGGCCTGTCCCCCATCCACCCGTGCAACCCCATAAAGCACCGTGGCTAAGAACTACCTCTCTTGCTCCAGGGCCCAGCCCTGCTCTGCACCTTTCTCTCCCTGCTGCTCCTGCTGGACCATGCAGCTCCCCAGGGCAAGATCAGAGCTTTCCCGCAGCCTGCACAGGGCTGCGACCAGTGTCTAGGTCCGGTCCTGGACCCTAGGACTCCACTTAGGGGTAGGGAGCACAGCTGGGCTTCTCCTAGCGTGCAGCAATCTTCCCTGCAACAGGCAAGGCAGCTCCTGAGCCGCTCCGCGACGCTGTGTAAGGAGCTGTCCCCACGACAAGCGTCCTGCTGGGACTGGGGAAGCAGACAAGATAGATTTGCACTGCTATATTTAGGATTTGTAATGCTAATGGGATTACAGCAGCATGCGTGCTCACGCCGTAATCAGCTCACTGCTCCAGTTGACGTGTTCCTAATCAGGCTGTTCACCTTGCGTAGTGGGAGGCCCAGGCCAGGACACAGGATTGGGGCTGAGCTGTGGTCAGTGCCACGAGGCCCTCCAAGCCTCCCGTTCTCCCCAGAGAGGCTGTGCCCCTCAGCACTGCGCGTACCCCGTAAGCAGGAGGACTGTGGGCTGTACAGATGTCTGCCATCCTCCTTCGGCCTCCCCTGCCCCGTTCTGCTGCGTGTGCCCTGCCCCAGCTGCCACCAGCTGTCCTATGCCCAGTCCGTGTAAGGGGACATGTCTGGGCAACACTTGCCACCCTGCGAGGTGCCCAGCCTGGGCAGCACTGGGAGCACTGGGACTTGCAAGTTGTGGTGTCCTGTGGGGCAGAGGCATCCACCTCCCCCTTCTTGTTCATTTTTGGCAGGGAGGGACCCAAAAGGTGAAGGGCCACAGCTCCCTTCCCTGCCCAGAGCCGGATTTGTTCTGCCTGGCTTGGGCATTAGCAACTCAGGTCTTGCCAGCTGTGCCAGAATGTAAATGGGAAACAAGTAAGAACTAAGCAGAGAAGGAAACCTGAGCAGCCAGGGATCCTGACGTGACGGGGATCTGATAACCGTTGAGCTCCCTTGGGAGAAAGGGGACCACAGTGAAGGTTTGCAGCTTGGGTCCCTCGAGGGGGCACCCGGGTCACCCACTGCAGCTGGGGGATGCTCGCTTTGCCATGCCAAGTGCCTCCCATGTAACACACAGGCTGTTACACACTCCCCAGATGCTGTGCCCACATCCAGCACCGCTTCCTTCCTCCCTGGGCACCAGAGCCTGTGGGCAGAGGCCAGATCCTGACCTCCTCCTTGCACCTATATCTGGGCCTCGGTGCCAGCCCTGAGCAGGAGGCGCAGGAAGCCCTGGCACCCATCGCTCTATTTTTGCAGCTGGGTTGGTTACGAGCATACCGGCTTCTGCGGGCAGCAGTTCACCCTGGAGAGGGGCGAGTACCCCCGCTGGGACGCCTGGAGCGGCAGCAACGCCTACCACATCGAGCGCCTGATGTCCTTCCGCCCCATCTGCTCTGCTGTGAGTGCCCCGGCTCCGAGGGGGGACCCTCGCTCCTGGGCTTGCTGCAGCGCCTTCCCCAGCCCATGCAGCACTGCGGGCACAGGCAGGGCAGGAATTGCTCCCGGGTTTCTGCGCTGCAGCAGCCTCAGTTGCCCCAGCGCAGACCCAGGCAGGGCGTTGGAGGAGACGCCTGGCTGCATGGCAGGTCGTGCTCTCGCATCTCTGACACCAGGTGGAGAGCAATGCGTCCCAGGCAACACCATCCAGCTAAGGGCGCGCGATTAGGAAGGGCAAATATGCAGCTGTCCCAGACGCTTTCCCGGCGGGCTTGGGGAAAGCCCCCGTTTGGGGTGGGCTCACTTCTTCCCCCTGCGCTCTGCAGGATTTGCTTTACTGTTTTCTGAGACTTTTAAAGGCACTTCTGGGCCAGTTGTACATGACTGGAGCTCAGAGCCCAGGGACAGCCATCCTGAAATGGTAACTAGAGCATAGCTGTCACGTAGACCTCCTAGGACACCCCCCTCCCTGTCTTGCCTGGCCTCCCAGCCTGGATGCACACACTAGTACCGCTCCACACCGAGATGCAGAGCCCTGGCCCAGCATCACCCTGCCGAGCACCTCCGTACAACATCTGGGATTGGCAAAACCAGCCATAAGGGCCCAAATGCCCCTGGGAACCCCCCCAAACAGTGCTGTGAGGAGGAAAACCCTTCCACCGTGCTGTCCCCTTCCACGCCTGCGGACGGAGTACTGCCTCGCTCTCACACTCTGCTCTTCTGCCCCAGAATCACAAGGAATCCAAGATCACTGTCTTTGAGAAAGACAACTTCATTGGCCGCCAGTGGGAGCTAAGTGACGACTACCCTTCGCTGCAGGCCATGGGCTGGGCCAACAACGAAGTGGGCTCCATGAAGATCCAATGTGGCGCGTAAGTGACAGGCAAAAAGCCACACGTGTAAATGTATCTGGGCTTAGCAACATGGACTGGTTTGGAAAAGGGCATGCGGGAAAAGCCTGGCACAAAGCGCTGCTGCTGGAGTAGGGAACGTGACCCAACCCTCTTACTCGCCCCTTCATCCCACCACGGCCACCTGACAACTCTGTTTCTTCCAGCTGGGTTTGCTACCAGTATCCTGGGTACCGTGGCTACCAGTACGTCCTGGAGGCAGACCACCACGGAGGAGATTACAAGCACTGGAGAGAGTGGGGTTCACACGCCCAAACCTGCCAGATCCAATCCATCAGGCGCATCCAGCAGTAGCTACCTGAGCGCCTGGCTCCCCACTTTCGAGTACATCTTTGCAAGGTTTCTAAAGCTCACCGGCTCCCTTTTGGTGCTAATACTCCCCTCCTGAAATAACAACCCCTTTCTTGTACTGCAACTGCTTATGGAACAACACTCCTAAATGGTACCAACTGCCACAATTGCCAATAAATGTGACTGAAGGAAAAGATGACAGAGCGTGGTTTTTGTTCGCTGTTCCAATTTTGGAATTGAGGAGCACAAGATGCTCAGGAGAAGTCCACAAAGCCCCATCCCACTACCGGCGGCCCGGTCCCCCTCTTCCTTGCCCAAATTAAGCAGGACTAAAGTCCAGTGGACCTTACTCCAGGGCAAGTTCAGCCCACAGCTGTCTGCCATGCACAAGGGCAGCAGTGCCCATACTGAGTAGCAAAACCATTATTCACTGCACATCTGCAGCCACAGCGGCTCCTTTTCTCCCTGCCCTCTTCTTTCCTCCCTGAGGGTGAAGGGCATTTTGCTACACCCCCAGCCTTCCCACTGTGCGCCCATCACTGGACACTCACGTGTACACAGCCACGGATGCAGCATTTCCAAAATGCTTTCTGGTTAGTGCCGGCAGACCTGAGGGACTGAAAGTCAAGTCATCGGCCGTGCAGCATCCCCGGGAGCAAAGGGAGGCTCTGTAAGAGCGCAAAAGAAAGTCACACTGACACCCACAAACTTTAAAATCTTTATTCAACAATTTACATCACTTATTGTCTGTCTTAACGTATTCGATCTACACAATTTTTTTTTTCCTGATAAAATAATAAAATCTGGATAAATTTTGAAGACCTGTTGGTGCAGAATAAACAAAATTCAGGTAAATTTTTAAACATTTAGTGTGAAGTATGACATCATCAGTAAAGATACATCATGCCATTACAGCTCATGGACATTACCTATCCTTACAGTCTGCGACATCATCATCCATCCCAGCGCAACTGCCTGCGCTAGACACCGCTACAGCAGGTATCGCACTACTCTAGCCACCCTCTCGCGATCGGGAAAACGCCTACGTTTTCAGCTGGCTACACAGAGTGCATTAACCTATTCAGAAGTATCGGGGAGAAGAAAAACGCAAACTACCTTTACCGTCTCTGTGTAGTAGCACGCTACGACATCGACAACAAAGAGGGGCTGCCCCTCTCCGCAAGTAAGAGGTAACTCAGCTCCTGAGCAGGTAGGACACAACCCCTTGCTGTGATTTTAATACACGCCAGGAAACTGAACGGAAATGAGAACTATTGACCGAGGCAGGAGGGGAGGCTGCGAGCCCCGCGAGGCCCAGCCTTCGCCCCGCTCCTGCAGGCCTACCTCCAGAGACCTCCCGAGCCCAGCTTTGAGCCTAAGCGCGCGGCTGTGCTCCCAACCGCTTTTAACACTGAAGTATTCAGGGGCGGGGAAGAGAGGGGCATCTGCTCCCCAAGTAAACAAGTTGAGGACCTTCAGAGGCTTCCAAGCCACGGAAGGTGTGTAAGTACACGTGTGATGGTAGATAGAAAAGCAGCCCTGTTCTGTATGAAAAAAAGCTGTAAAGTTAGTACAAATTTCTGCCATGGCAAAGGGAACACGAGGAGAAAGCTGCCAGGGGTACTTCTCCCATCGCAAAATCCAGACTCTTCCGCACAAAGGCTCTGGGCTAAGCAACAAGCTTTCAAACGTGGTATTTGCCAACCGATGCACATAACTCAGGAAAACAGAACCAAAATAAAGCCCTTGCGCCCTGGGGACCGGAGGGACCCCCCGCTCCGCTCCAGCCGGCCATGAACTACACCCTGCATACATACCCCCGCTGCGGGGACAACGCGAAAGCCTGTCCCTCTCGCCTCACCGCGCGAACACCCACTGGTCAGGTTTCTCTTCGGTTGTTTTGCTGTTCGATGCCTCAAGCCGGCACCGTGAGCCTGCAAACGGGCCAAGGCAGCCGGCCG